ATATATATACATATATATATATACATATATATGTATATATATGTATATATATATATGCACACACACACACACACACACACATACACATACACATATATGGTTAAATCAGGGACCAAACGATCCTCAGGTACCAGTGTTCACTGCAGCATTATTTACGACAGCCAAAAGGTAGAATGGAAGCCACCCCAGTGTCCATCAGCGGATGAACATATAAACGTGGCATATATATGCGCCGGACTAATACACAGCTATAAAAAGGGCATGAAGCTCTGACACGTGCTACAACGTGGACGAACCTTGAAAACAATATGCTGAGTGAAATAAGCCACAATAGGACCAATATTGTAGGACTCCACTCCCAGGATTATCTAGAATAGGCAAACTGATAGAGACAGAAGGGGAACCGGAGGTCTCTAGAGGCTTGGGGAGGGAAGGAAGGGGGGTTATTACTTAATGAGTGCAGAGTTTCCTTAGGGTGATGAAAACATTGTGGAACCAGATAATGGTGATGGTTGTACAAGTAAGTGTAATTAGTGTCACTGAACTGTACACTTAAAAGTGGTTAAAAATAGCAAATTTTACGTTATATATAGTTTACCACAATGGAAAAAAAGATTAAATTTAAAATATATATATTCCCAGAGTGGGAGACATTTCAGATGGGCCGTATAGAGTGAAGAGCTATCTAGGGAGAGAAAAGATGACAGGGAAAGTGGAAAAAGACTATTCTATGGGGGGAAAAGAGACAGAAGCAGAGAGACACAAGTGTAGCACAACCTAGTTCAACGGCCTGCAAAGAGGCCTGATTTAGGCTCTAAACGAAATCATTCTCACCAACACTTCCTATCAACCTTTCACCTGGCCAGTGAAATCAGGTAATTATTAGCATCAACAACATAAAATTCAAAATGGAAAAAAACACACAAAACAAAACCCTGAGAGCTTCCTGTTTGTGGGGACTACCCCTCCCTCCCTTCAGCTCAGAGCACACTCAGCCCTTCTCAGTGCCGGGCTCCTTTCCTTTCAAACAACTCTAAAGAAAACTCTGAAAAACAAGACCAGGTTACCTGCTCCAGTGTCTCGCATACTTCACATGGACGGTCACCTTGTCTCATAGTTACATCCATTCTGCTATATAGTTAAAGCCTTGTTCCTACCTAGGTCTGCCGGAGTAGTAATTGGTTGCCGTGTTCCAATAACAGCTCTTAAAGCCCTTAGGGGTACACGGGGACTCCCTCAAACCCCACTAAGATGAAGGAACACGTGAGAAGGGAAACACCCGTACACGGTACATGTAAAACAATCCCCACAAAGTGCGGGATAAGAGGAGGCCAATTACAACCACCCCAGAGACCGCCGAAGCTTCATCCAAGGGGCTAATGATAGTGTTTTTAATTTTATTTTCTAAAACTTGTATAACAATGAACTACATGTAAAATGAGAAAAAAAAATTTTAATTGAAATATTCTACAGTCAAGTCTTACCTTAATTACATAATTCTCTCTATATAATATTGATTTAACAGCTGCATTAATATCTTCTTTAGCTAATGCCTGAAATGACAGAATGAAATTTTGAAAGTCGAATCTCAAAAATCTCATCATTAATACCATCTGGATTTATATTTTACGTGACAGACATCTCTCTGGAAAGTGCTCTGTAAATCCAGTTTTGATACCTAAAATCGTACGGTAAAGTATTATTTAAAGAGCATTTGAATCTTTCTGCTTTCGGCTAAACTCATTCTAGGGCAAAAACAACTACAGTGACCGACAGCCCCGGAGAGATGGCCGGGCTGGCCTCAGGGAGGGAGGGGTGGCCACGCCACGGTGAGCACAGCTGGGAGCGCGGACCGTCCACTACCTGGACTGCGGTGCTGGTTTCAGCGGTGAACACACGTCCAAATCTATCACGCTGTGCACCTTAAATACACGCCGTGTACTGCATGCATGTCGAGTATACCTCGATAAAGCTCTTTAGCGAAAGAAATTACAATCTTAAAGACACGCACACATGTATACATGTGGACGACGTGCTTCAAGACGAACTGGTAACTTTGTTACATTAGAAAAGGTGCATCGTCCGTGACCCAGGGCTCCACCTAAAGCCGCCAGAAAACCGGCAGAGTCGACACGGGGCCGCATCTCACACGC